TAAATATAGCTGAGTGAAACATGTCACCTTTCCTGCGTCGTTTCTATAGCTTCTTAAAGTAAGTGTCTACTGAATTCATGGCAAAAATGGGTGTGGGATTCAGGGCTGATTGTGTCTTTTTGTTCATGTTTGCTTTGCAAAATACAAACAAAATAGACATTACAGGGCCGGGGAGATGCCTCAATAGAATAAGCGCTTCCCTGGCAAGAGCAGGGGCCTGAGTTCAATCCCTGATTCTGCCAAAAAAAGAAAAAAGTATAGACTTTGCATAATATGAACCCAGAGAGTAGCAGACAGACAGACAAACAGACAAATCAGGATGAGGCTATGCACAATTTTAGTGATGCCTTAGAAAATGTACATAATTTGAAACTATATTTTAAAAATTAATTTAATTGTAAATGATCAAGTTGGGGGAACATATTGGTTTGACTGATTGATTGATTTGTTCATTTATCAGCTAGGGACACTCAGTTTGCTTAATAAGGACTTGAACACAATAAAATGCACAATGAATTATGATATTGATTAATAATAAAACCTAGCATAGTCATGGGATATGATGATATTTTAGTTATTGAATAGGATGACATTGAAAGCACAGAATTGTATGACCATTTTGTATCTGTGTATTCAAAACTGTTAGCATAGATATACAGCTACATTCTCTTAATTCAAGGAATACAGGAATTTGTTCTAATAGTGTTTGTAAACAGGATATCATGTCCGCATCTTGTACAACAAATAACCACTAGGAAGAGAGTATGCAATGTGTTAATTATTGGAACTGTCCTACCAATTTGATTTGAAACTGTCTCACTGCTATTTATTTCTCAATAAAATTATGGAAAAAAATTAAAAAATGAATCACATAGGCCATGTGATAAAAAAAGCAGGGCACATTTCTGCTTATCTGACAGTATGGCAGAAAACTAAGCCTTAAGAGGTACATGTCTTAGATTTATAGACATTGTTGGATGGCAAGTGTTTATTACTATACAACTCATTTAACAAATACATAAACTTTATCTCTTCAAATATACATAACCAATAACAGCAGTATTGGAAAGCTATGCAAATCTGAGCCTTAGTATTCCAAGTATTTCTGAGGAAGAGAGATAGTAAAGTTACTAATTTTCATTTGTAAACACAAGCAGAATTCCAGTTCTATTATGATTAAAAGAAAAATGATTTTAGATATAAAGTCACTTTAGATACTACATTCAACACTAAATAAAAGAATGAAATTTTATCCCACCCAATTACCAACTATAATTTCAGGTTTTACAGCATTCATCAACCAATGTTATTAGTCTATATAATGAGCAATGTGCTAAAACCTATAATTTTTACATTATTAATAAAAGAAGTAAAAACTCAAAATAAAGCACAGAATTGGAATCTTTAGGTAGATCTAGACTTGTGCATTCAAATAAGCTCTCTAGGCACAAAGGCAAAAATTTGGGATAAAGTAGTATGTAACCAAAACATTAAAAACTTTCAAATTATTTCATGATTTTCTTTGAATTTTATTTTTTTGAATTTTTTTCTAAGGAGTATGACTTACATCTATGATCATATCATAATGTTTAGTATAAAATATTTCCTGGTGAAATTTTTATACTCCTTCCTTTTATGATAAGTAAAATATTACTAGCATATGTGTAGAAAAATGATCTCCAACAACTAGTCAAATTTTAGTAAAAATATGTAATTGTTTATTCCTATCTTTTAAAGTATTTTTTCTGCTTTTCTTCATATTCTGTAGGAATGTAAAGCTTAACATATCAATACTTGATGGAAAATACTTGTTCCATGCTATGTCTAAGATGTTTGATATTCAGACAGTTAGTGAGGCTAAGCTCACCTGCCTATGTTATAGGGTAATGATATCATTAAGCTTCTCTTCTGGAGGATTAACAACTACAGTTTGCAGACCAAAAATTAGAGAAAAAGAAGGGCTGTGAGGAGAGCCAACATTTTTACTCTACCCTTTCAAGTCAGTGAGGACGCAGAACATAGGAGAACCTGTACTGTAGCATCATGTAACTCGGTTTTGTCCCATATCTTCTGATCAAGGATATTAAGAGGCCACAGAGGAAGGTGATCGATGATGTAGAGTGTGCCTAAGGAGAGTCACATGGAGAGAAAACATTCTCTCAGGCTTTCACAGAGAGCAAATTGATCAAGCAATGGCCATGACTTATCCACATGGCTGACACTGACAAATGATCTAAAAAATGTGGTACAGGGTTTCAGGGTAAATCCTGAGGGGATTTGACTCATCTTGTCTGATAAAAAATTGCATTTCTTGTTATATAGGTCTTGCTTTATCTTGATCTTAACCATCCAGCAGAAAAGTATAAAAACAAGGTATAAAAAGCAAAGCAATATTAATATGCTACTCTGTAAAAGGCTCAAGTCAACAATTCCTGACATTGTCAGTCCTATGGATAACCCACCACTATTATGGACTACTGGGCTATATTAGATTATTTTGCTGAATTCATGCACCTACAAGATTTAAATGGCAATGAAATACCCATCTCTGGCAAAATTAAACGAAAAAGGGGTTACAAATGAAGAACCATTTTGTATCTGTATATATAAAATAGTTAGGATAGATATACAGCTACTTTCTCTTAATTCAATGAGAAGAAAGATTTGTACTAATAATGTTTGGACAGGATATCATATCTGCATCTTGCACTATGAATAACCACCATGAAGACAACAATATGCAATGTATTAATTATTGAAACTATGCTACTAATTGGTTTTGAAACTGGCTTGTTGCTATGTGTTTCTCAATAAAATTAATTAACAAAATTCTGGTCTGGGCACTTCAATGCAGAGGTGATTCTCTGTGAGTGCATGTCTTAAGTGTCACTGCAAATAGGTCAGAAGTGAGTTCCAGCAATAGTTTTGAGGATTACAAATTTAAAAATGATGAATTGTGTATGGCTGTTCCAAGGGTGAGACTCTTGTGAACGTCTCCTTGAACTTTTGTCCTTGGCATTGGGCCAGAAAAGCTTCTTTGGAAATTATGCCCTGAGGATGACCGAACGGTGTGTTATTCTGAACGTCGACTGTGTGAGACACTCAAATGATTACCGGGGGAGCAACGCCGCACCCTGTCCTCTTTATATGCACAGTTTCACCCTGCAATTTTCACACACTAGTTCTCGGTAAAGTTTCCAGGGAAGCAAGAGTTGAACTGAATATAATTTAATTCACAGTAAAATAAAATGAATACACAAGGACATAAAGGTAAAATAGATCAAGAATCAGACATACGTCACAGAAATTTTCTTACTTGCTTTTAGTATTTGATGTTTGAGAATAATTTAAGCTTAACAGGACTCTAGAGTGACAACTCTTCAAAAAGCTTTGATTCAGCAAGTTTTCCTCACAGTAAGTATCATTCATCAAATTGAAGGGAATAAGATCTTGTACTACAAAACTAAAAGTTTGTCAGAAAGATCCAGGTACACGCAGTATCTAGGCCTGACCTCAAGTAATGCTACATTTCATGAAACCAAATTATAGAGTTGGTGGCATCAAAGATTCAGCAAAGGTACATAATTTGAAACTATACCTTATTTATTTATTTATACTTTTTTTTTGGTGGAACTGGGGATTAAACTCAGGCCCTTGTACTTGCCAGGGAAGCATTTACTCTACTGAGCCATCTCCCTGGTCCCTGAAATTATATTTTAAAAATAAATTTTATTGTGAATGACCAAATTGGTAGAAGAAATTGGTTTGATTGGTCGATTGATTGATTGATCTGGTGCAATTTCTCACTACCCAACTCAGATTCACACTGATCCTCCTGTCTCAGCCTCCCCTGCACTGGTATTGCTGTGCCACCACGCCTGTGTTCCGGGGCCGGCACATCATGCAGTACTGGGTATCGAATCCCGATTTTTGTACTTGCCAGGCAGGTGCTTAGACCACTGAGCTATCTCCACAGCCCATGGGAGAAGATATTGTTAACAGAAAGGGAAGTCGATGCTGACACTGTGTCCACAAAAAGAGGCAGCAACTTTCTCTTGATGGAAAGGGTAAGGTTTATTTAAACTCCTGAAATCTTCCTGTGTTCAGTTGTGTGGGGGCTTTTACATCCAAATCTACTCAAGCTCATTTCTTTTAGTCCAAATTAAACTAAACCCCGGTCCCGAGGCTCAGCTCTGCAGATTCCTTTCCCCAGAAAGTGGTGCTTTCCTGGGGCAGCAGCTCTTCTCCATGCAGTCCTCTGAGTGGAGAAGAGGAGAGGGAGCCTGATGCTGCTCTCAACAAGAAGTGGGATACACGACCAGTCTTTAAAGCAATCCTCCTGCATAATTTATTTCAAATTAAATTTCACCTTCAACATTTTTAAGAACATTATGTCGATATCATTGTAATAAGTTGCATCTAATTTCCCACTAGTGAATTTAAGTGATACTGTGTAACAGCTTTAGAGACTAGGGGACAGTAAATAACATACTAAAACTGACTTCAATACTTTATTACACATCCTTATCAGTTGTGCTTTTAAAAAAGGTTATAATCATGAGCAAAGGCTTCGGAGGTATGTTCCGGTAGTCCAAACGTCTTGGGCAAATCCCACTGTTAACGTGGACTAGCTCTCCTTTTGGGTATTGGACTCTGTGCCCCTGCTCTGACATACATTATACAGATACGAGCTAGTGTTTGAGTAAATTATATTCATGTGGCTTGATGTTGAAGAATAAAAGCATTCACAATTTTACTGCTTCTTCCTTCTTACCTAGACTATAATCTTTAAAAATATAAGCAGAAAATGTCAATTTATATTCATGTCTATATAGGCTAATTATATCTTTTCACTTTTACTAAGTAAAGACATTAAAATTTTCAACACAATCTCAACTATGTTATTAAAGAATCTGTCACTAACACCCTGTAAGGTTTCTGAAAACACTCAGACTAAATATCTGATGTGATCTTTGAGCAGATAATTCCATCAGAACACCATGCAAAGTTGGAACTCCAGCAATGTGCCTGACTTCGTCCTCCTGGGGCTGACTGATTCTGCAGAGACACAGCTGGTCCTCTTCCTGCTCTTCCTCCTCATCTACCTGGTCACGGTGCTGGGGAATGCAGGGATGATCCTGCTCATCCGCCTGGACCCCCAGCTGCACACGCCCATGTACTTTTTCCTCACCCACCTGTCCTTCCTCGACCTCAGCTACTCCAGTGTCATCACCCCTAGAACCTTACAGGACTTAGTGTCCTCCAGCAAGAGCATCTCATTCCTGGGCTGCTTCACTCAGATGTTCTTTTTTGTTCTCTGCGGTGCTGCTGAATGCTTTCTCCTCTCCTCCATGGCCTATGATCGCTATGCAGCTATCTGCAGCCCTCTGCACTATCCAGTCATTATGTCTGCGAGACTGTGCTGGGCCCTGCTTTCTGGCTCCTATATTCTCGCCTTAGTTGATTCCACAGTCAATGCGCTCTGCATGAGCAAACTGCACTTCTGCAACTCTAATGTCATCCATCACTTTTTCTGTGACACCACTCCAGTGCTGGCTGTGGCTTGCAACGACATTCATGATCTTGAAGTCACTATATTCAGTTTTGCTGGTTCCACCCTTGTTCTGTCCCTCATCACTATATCCGGATCCTATGTGTCCATCCTCTCCACTATCCTCAAAATTAATTCCACTGCAGGAAAACAAAAAGCCTTCTCCACCTGTGCCTCCCACCTCCTGGGCGTCACCATCTTCTATGGCACCATGATCTTTACCCATTTGAAACCAAAGCAGTCCTACTCCCTGGGCAAGGATCAGGTGGCCTCTGTGTTTTACACCATTGTGATCCCCATGCTGAACCCCCTCATCTACAGCTTCAGGAACAGAGAGGTGAAGAACGCTGCACTTGGAGTCCTGTTGAAAAGACAGGGATGCAGCCAATTAAGATAACACTGAGCCTGGATATTCATAACTATCCTTTCCTGTTTGTTTTACTCTTATGGAAACTCTTTGATCACTTTTTGGAAACACTTGTATGTATCTGAATCAGTGGGTGCATATGTGTGCGTGTGTATGTGTGTGAGTGTGTGTGTGCATGTGTGTGCATTCCCTATGTTTTACTGGACAGGTTTTATCGTTTTCATCTACTTAATGAAAATTCTGTCATATTCTTCTGTGCTGTTTACAGTTTTCAGTGTGCTATTCAATCCTTTGCGCACACCTCTCTATACATCTACTATGAATACCCGTGATTGATCACTGTTTGAGTAGTCACTCTGATGTGTGCCTGATGTTGCCCTTCCAAGAAGACTAAGCTATTAAAGTGCAAACTCATTCATTTAATAATTCTTAGCCTTTCTCTAGCCCAGTCTTAGTGTTCACTGTCTCTGAACATAAAGTGAGATTCTTGTACCCTTATTGTGACTATTTCTTTCTCCATCTTTTGGTGACTGTGAGACAGTTCACTGGTTCCCTGTGGTCCACTCAAAAAAGCCTTGTCTTTAGAATTTAAATTTTACGTGAATGTGAACTGAGATAAAAAAAAAAACTCATAAAAATACGTGTGAATTTCTAGCTAAATGGGATTTTTTTTTGTCTTTTTGAGACAGTTTCCACCCTGCATTTTAGGCTGACCTTGAACTCATTTGTAGCCCAGGTTGGCCTTGAACTTGTGGCAATCATCCTGCCTCAACCTACCAAGTGTTGGGATTACAGAGCAGCACCACTATGCCTAGCCTTAACTGGATTTAAAAAAAAATAAGGTGGTGAAAGGTTCATGATGGCTATTTACATTCTATGTGGAAATGGAAATTCTGCAAGCCTGGAGTCTAATCCATTGCTATGTCTTCAAAGCTGTCTTATGGATAATGTCACACAGAACACTGCAGTGGCATCTGGTGCACTTTAAAAGGTGACAACAACTTTACATCAATACAATGCACACTGATCCCTCTAGTCTGCTCCTAGGTTGTTGCCTATGAGCTATTACAATGTGTAAAGGAATAGACTCTAAGAAAATCCAGCAGAAATCATTGATTCAAAGCCTTTAGGTATGTTTTTATCTCTCCCATATTTCTACCATTGACTTCCAATTGGAAATGAAAAATATCGAGTAATTCCTTCATTTTCACGTACATATAAACCTTGAGATTAGGTCCTCCACAGATATACAGGTTAGTATCAAATTCTCACCTCACTGGCAAGAGCTTTGTAGCACTGAGCAAAGTGCCTGCATCTACAATTTCTGACTTTTTCTCATTGATGATAAAAGGAAATCGTGCAACATTTTCTTGGAGATGTTACCACAGAAATGACTTGCAGCAATACATGTAGAATATTACCTCAATGGTCCACCACCTAGTAAGCCTGGGATATGCATGCGCTATTACTCTTGCAGAGGAGGAGCACTTCCCTAATTATGCTGAAATTTCTTCCAGTGAAAATTAAAGTGTCATAGAGTTTAAGTAGTGTGACCAAAAAATTTGTGTTGAAAAAAGTTATATGACGGGGAGTGGAAAATGCCAGACCAGAGGCAGGCAATACACACAACCGATTCTAGAATACTTAAAACATGTTTTATTTACACATACATATAGTTCATAATAATTCCGTTCATGCTGTGGACTTGGCGCGTGCTTGCGCATGCGCGTACACACACACACACACACACACACACACACACACACATACATTGCACTTGACCATTTCTCATTGCCCTTCCTGGGTTGGGCCTCTCTGCTTTTCTATTCCTGGGATCCCTTCCCCTTCAAAAATATGCTTTTACTTGTCTATTTCCTACCACCTCTACCATATTTTTCTCATTAAGTTGTCTACACATTGTGTTAATCATATAAGGGAAAGCATGCATTCCAGGATGTTTGTGAAAATCAGCAAATATACAGGTCTCTACAGAGATAAAGGAACCATAGGAGGTCACTGGGTTGCAACTTGAGTGAGCCGGTAATGAGCTAAAATCCAGGCCCGCTGGTGTTCAGACACATAAGTAGAGAAGCAGAAGGAATCGAAGGCAGCACAGGATGCACAGCTGCTCCGCGTGGGGAGGAGATTCCCATCGTGCTCTCCTTGAGAGACTCCAGCATCATCTGAGTGCTGACTTTGCCCAGAACAGGGAATCATCAGGAAGAGGCTGGGAACAGGCTCCCTCTGTGAGCAGCACACAGTGACGATCCCAGGATTTCCCTCAGGGTAGGACAGCATGGGGTCAGCTACCATCAGAGGTGGCTCCTGTCCTCTGCCTCAGGAGAGCAAGGAGGAGCGGTGCTTGGGCAAGGTCTCGCTAAGAACCACCTGCAGTGATGCCAGCATAGTAAGAGGACTTCAAATGGCATGTTCAAAACCTTGGAAGAAAATAGATAGTGACCTGCATGACAGTACCCTAAAAGATTGTCTTTCTGATGTGAAGGGGAAATTAAGGCTTTCTAAAGTAAATAGGAACCAATGATACTTTTCCCATCTAGACCTTAAAGAGGGGGTCGAGAATAATTAAGAGTTGGGCAGTGGGTGTAGACAGGAGTGCTGGGTCAGTAAATCAGCAATAAACTATCACTAGGAGACAGAGTACAGATTAAAAGGAGAGGAAATGGACAGGAAAGAAGGAAGCAAGGCATACTGAGCAGGCTATTTCCACAGGAGCAAGGGTAACTCATTCACTGCTCAGCATAATGTTTTAAAAGAAAATCATGGGCAAGTGAGACAGCTCAGTGGACTAAGGGCCTGCTTGGGCAAGTGCAGGGACCCTGCGGTGCTGAGCCAGCCACCGAATCCAGGCGTGTTAGTACACCCCTGTGATCCCAGTGCTGGAGAGGATGAAAACAGGAGGATCACTAGGAGTGCAAGTCACGTAGTGAGACCCTCTATTCATAAATGAAAAAAAAAGTGTCACCTCTTATGTTGGGCCTGCCAGATAGCTCAGCAGATTACAGTGCCTGCTTCGGCAAAGCACAGCAGCTGGTGTTCTATCCCCATCATGTTGTGCCGGCCCCACCGCCAGGGTGCACTGAGAGGGCAATGGAGAGTGGGCATGGTGATGGGCACCTGTAATCTCAGCGCAGGGTAGGATGAAACAGGAGGATAACTACGAGTCTGATCTGGGTAGTGAGGCCCTGCTCACTGTGTACTAAATATGTAATTTTAAAAAGAAAAAAAAATAGAGAATCACACATTCCAAGTACATTTTAATACCTTAGAGATATAGTTGTGAAGCAAATATACACAGAACCTATCTTTATGCACACTACAGCAGCAGGAGTGGATCTAAGTATAATCAAACTCACAACCAAAACTGATGAAACAGAACTCATAAGAAGTTAGAAGAGAAGCTGCACAATTATAGTGACAGGGAAAGAATTGTTTTATACTTTGACTTTGTTATTTTTATTATTCAGTAAGTGAGATGTGCACAAGGAAATACGATTAAATTGAGTTTTGTCTAATGCCATCATTTTATACCTTGTCTGTTGAGCTGAACAGCAACACACGACAGGAAACTGACTTTCCATAACATCGAGTTCCCGAACATTAAGTTTTTTCATTGTGATAAAACAGAGCCTAGAATTGTATTACAAAGCAATCGAACATCACTTCTTGTTGAACTTGTTAACAATGTTCACCAGCTAGTCCCGGCTGTGAAAGAGAACATTCCAGTTTCCGGTTTTCCTCTTGCTCCTCCCAGGTACTGTCTCTATTTTTTTCTTTTCAGTTCAAACAACAGCATGTTGTTATCCTAAAACAAAACCTTGACTATAACATTTCTTTAACAGAAGTGCAGCCGCGGTGCATATGAGAGAAACGCAGGGAGTGGGTCTTGCTGCTGCAACGTTTTTGAATTTTATACCAAGAATCTATGGAATTATTTTTGAACAATTACCCCTTTCTTCTTCAAAAGTATCCTAAAACATTATAATTTGAAAAATAAATCTGATGACTATGGCTGAATTTCTGTATGACAGAATCTTTTTACTTTTATTTTTATTTTTTATTTATGTGATACAGGGTCTTGCTAAGCGTCGTGGACTTGTAGTGATCCTCCTGTCTCAGCCTCCCCAGCACTGGGATTACAGGTGTGGCTGCGGTAGCTGACACTGGGCTCCCAGGCCCAGCATGGCATGCAGTGCCCGGGATCAGACTCAAGTCTTGCATTTACCAAGGAGGTGCTTAGGCATCTGCGCTATCTCCCCAGCCCGATACTGCAGAATCTTACCTATGATGTATTTCTGAAAATTTCATAATTTCATTTTTTAAAAAAATGTTAAGCATTGATTCTTTTGATAAACACTTGCTACTTCCTATAGAGATGAGTGACAAATTTGCACAAGTGACCAGAACGAATAAGAAACTGACATATAGAAGTATTACTTTTGAATTGAAAATGTACATCTGTATGTCAACACTGGAAAGCTATGTAGCTTTGATTGTTATATTCTGACAGACTACTCTTGGGAAAAATTATAGGAAAATCACCACTTAT